AAAAAAAAACAACCCAATCCAAAAATGGGCAGAAGACCTAAATAGACATTTCTCCAAAGAAGATATACAGACTGCCAACAAACACATGAAAGAATGTTCAACATCATTAATCATTAGAGAAATGCAAATCAAAACTACAATGAGATATCATCTCACACCAGTCAGAATGGCCATCATCAAAAAATCTAGAAACAATAAATGCTGGAGAGGGTGTGGAGAAAAGGGAACACTTTTGCACTGCTGGTGGGAATGTGAATTGGTACAGCCACTGTGGAGAACAGTATGAAGGTTCCTTAAACAACTAAAAATAGAACTACCATGTGACCCAGCAATCCCACTACTGGGCATATACCCTGAGAAAAGCATAATTCAAAAAGAGTCATGTACCAAAATATTCATTGCAGCTCTATTTACAGTAGCCAGGAGATGGAAACAACCTAAGTGTCCATCATCGGATGAATGGATAATGAAGATGTGGCACATGTATACAATAGAATATTACTCTGCCATAAAAAGAAACGAAATTGAGTTATTTGTAGTGAGGTGGATGGACCTAGAGTCTGTCATACAGAGTGAAGTAAGTCAGAAAGAGAAAGACAAACACCGTATGCTAACACATATATATGGAATCTAAGAAAAAAAATGTCATGAACAACCTAGGGGTGAGACAGGAATAAAGACACAGACCTACTAGAGAATGGACTTGAGGATATGGGGAAGGGGAGGGGTAAGCTGTGACAAAGTGAGAGAGTGGCATGGGCATATATACACTACCAAATGTAAAATAGATAGCTAGTGGGAAGCAGCCACATAGCACAGGGAGATCAACTCGGTGCTGTGTGACCACCTAGAGGGGTGGGATAGGGAGGGTGGGAGGGAGGGAGACGCAAGAGGGAGGAGATATGGGAACATATGTGTATGTATAACTGATTCACTTTGTTATAAAGCAGAAACTAACACACCATTGTAAAGCAATTATACTCCAGTAAAGATGTAAAAAAAAAAAAAATTCAGACCGGGCCGGAAACACTAAGCAGATCATCCTGTGTACGATAATAATCCAGTATCCAATAGTACCATGGGGACAAAAACATCACCAGTGGGACGATAGGATATTTTAAGAAGAATATTCCAGGAGGCCTCAGGTTGTGTCTTATGTACCTGCCTTGGTTTGCTTTCCTGAGCCATCAGCCAAGATCTCCCTGACCTGGTAGATCCTCACCACAGTATCCTCTTCCAAGTCTGAGTAAAAAGTTAAACACATCTTTTCCCCACAGATTCTGGGCAATAGCTCACCTGCATTCTAACAGAATAGTGTAATATTCAGGCTTTTCTCATCATACACTGGCTGGTTTAGCAGAATGATGGATGGAATCTACAAAACCTTGAATCAAAATGAATGTTTGGGCTTCCCAGGGTGGTGCAGTGGTTGAGAGTCCGCCTGCCGATGCAGGGGACACGGGTTCGTGCCCAGGTCCGGGAAGATCCCACATGCCACAGAGCGGCTGGGCCCGTGAGCCATGGCCGCTGAGCCTGCGCATCCGGAGCCTGTGCTCCGCAACGGGAGAGGCCACAACAGTGAGACGCCCGCGTACCGCAAAAAAAAAAAGAATGTTTGTTGCTACGCTGAATCTTTGGCCATTCATGGGGTAGGGAAATGCCAGGGCTCTGCCTTGGTTCATGGAAACATACAAACAAGGTGATGGTAGAGGTCTTCGTGTCTTGGTGTTCAGATGACTGCTTCACTGAGACAGCCAACTTAGAGGAGACAGACACTGGGGATGACAGAAGTGACACCAGTGAAACAACAAATCCAAAGATGGAATTAAGGCTGTCAACATCTCCGGAAAGGCACAGAAATTCAAGGGACATTTTTTGGGTATGAAAATAGGAGGCTTGTATGTAAGAAGAGACATTTCATGGGAATCAGGAAAAACGACAGTCATCCCTGTGCACTTGCACACCTGCGAGTGAGTTTGTCACACCTGCCTTGGATCCATTATCTAACTTGGGGCCTGACCCATAGGCTTGGCCTGGATGAAGAACAGAGCACAGCTCCCTGACCCACCTGATGATGTCTGTGCTTAAAACTCTGTCATAGAGCCTGATTCAAATCACTATGTCTACAGAGCTTGTACACAGGGATGACAAATCTCAGCACTGCCTGAGGCGTGGGATACAAAGAATACAGAGTCTACCTGGGAGTCCAGTTGGAGTTTTATCACATTGATAAAGAATACTCAATGGTTACATCCGGAGCATAAGAGACATCCACTTCCTCAAATAAGAAGAAGGCAGCACTTGTATAAGGCCAGAAGGAGTCTGACAGACCAGGAAGAATTGAGTAAATCAAATAGTATTCATCCAGTGAGTCCCATGCGACACCATTCTCTACCATCTGTGGCAGCTCCCTGCTGAGCCTGGTGGGGAGGCAGGACTGAAGATTAACCGAAGAGGGATCAGCAATCATAGAGTCCTACCTGGTTCTGATGGCATGTTTAAGGGAGTGGTGAAGCAGGCCAAGGGCCTGATCCTTTAAGGAGGGAAAAACTCCCTTTTGTGTGTGGGACAGAGTGTGTTTTTTCACAGGGGCAGGAGATAGAAAGGACACTAGGTGCTCAGTGCTCTGGCCAAATAACAAGCTGATGAAGAAAGAGACTGAATTATCTCTGGATGGTACAGTCATGACTCACAACATATAGAGACACGTACCAGTGGCTTTCACCCTTTCATTTACGTTGCATTGAGTGTCACATGGAACGGGCAAGTGCATACAGCTTTTGGGACATTCTGGTGTCCCAGAAATCTCATGCCATCGAGGCCTCTCTAAATACTGTGGCATGGTATAGTAATATTATGGTCTATTTACATTTCTTGCTATGACATACATGCCAACATGCTAACGCCAAACAGGCAGAAAACAGATATGCACCTCACTCTATAAACCACACTGGAGATAACGAGTGAGTGCCAAAAAATCACTCTGACTTAGTTTACCTGGGTCAACTGGCTTGGGTTATAAACTTGAGAAGTTAATAAGAAATGGGAAACAATATAAGTACCACAATGAAAGCAGAAAACATTACAAAAAATGATAATTCGTGGTTGGGAAAATTGATGATACAATATATTCAGCACTTCCTGCTTTTCCCTGGACCAGAGGCCTGCAGACGTCATCACTGTATTAACGGCCCACAAATATTCAAAATTACCTTGTGGCAATAGCCACTGGTCCTTGCGGGTCACTGTGATCAGTTTGGTTTTCTACAAATAAATTGACAGGACAGTTACATCAGGCAAAACCCCTTCACAAATGCCCAATCCTGTGCCAATCTTCACAGTGTGATAACAGGCTATTGTGAGAGAAATAGCCCAGGAGGCCCCAAAGAGAGCCTCATAAGAAGGCCACTGGGTTTCCTTCTTGAGCCACTGGACAAATGTCCTTGATATGACAGGTCATCCTCAGAGTATCCTATGTCCCGAGTCTGTGCAAATGGCTAAACAAATCCTTTTCCCCACAGATCCTGGGGGAATACCCAGCTACCATCCTAGAGCGTTGCTGTAATAGTCAGGCTTTTCTATCTGAAATGCTGTTTGTTAATGGGTTAGATGAATTATACATTGAGACTAGATGGGAGTGGAATCTACACACCATCAAGTCAAAAGAATCTTCAGGGACTTCCCTGGTGGCACAGTGGTTAAGAATCTGCCTGCCAATGCAGGGGACACAGGTTCGAGCCCTGGTCCGGGAAGATCCCACATGCCACGGAGCAGCTAAGCCCATGCGCCACAACTACTGAGCCCTCATGCCAGAACTACTGAAACCCGTGCACCTAGAGCCCATGCTCTGCAACAAGAGAAGCCACCACAGTGAGAAGCCCACGCACCACAACGAAGAGTAACCCCTGCTCACCGTGACTAGAGAAAACCCGCACGCAGCAACAAAGGTACAACACAGCCAATAAATAAATAAATAAATTTATAAAAGCAAAAAAAAAAAAAAAAAGAATCTTCAAAGCTGCAAAGAAACAATGGCCATTCATCAGCTTGGGAAGTTCCAGGGCCCTGCCTTGCTTCAGAGAAATGTACCAAGTGTGACAGTGGGGCTTATATTTTGGTTTCAGAAGACTCTGGACAAGATAACACAAATGAAAGGAGATAGACTGTGGGTTGACAGAAGTGAATCAATGTAGTGACATCTCCAAAGATAGAAACAAGACTGCCATGAGACTCAGACACGTAAGGGAACTCAGGGACATTGCTCAGGAATGAAAATTAGAGAATTTCATGTGATATAAGACATTCATTCAAAATTAGGAGGCCTCAAAGTTACTTCCTGTGCCACAATGTACATGTGAGTCTGGCAGGACTGCCTTCGTTCCAGTGATTTGCCACAGGGACAAAAAGACTAGGAACTGAGAAAAGTTCACTAACTTGTAGAATGTCTTATTTTAAATGCAATTGTAGAGTCTGGTTCAAACCAGGCTTCAATATGTAAGCATACAGTCTATCTAAGCAGATTAATTCTCTCAAGAGTATACTAACAAAGATAATGGAGATTACCTGGGAGACCAGTTGAAATTTCATCCTCTTTAGCATGGGAGCAACCACAGGCTCCATCCAGAGCAGACCTCACTTTCTCTTCATCAAATGCAAATTTTTCATCAGTGTAAGGCTGGTAGCAGTTAGAACCTTCCTGGGGAGTTGAAGGAGCCAGAACACATTCATCTTGGGATTCCTGGAGCACTTCCTTCTTTTCAACATCCTGTAGGTTCACGCTGTGTCAGGTGGCAAAGGGATGACAGAAGATTAAACTAAGAGGAGCAGACACCATGCTGTCCTAGCTGGTGTTGATGGGAGGCATAGGGAGTGGACACAGAAAGCAAAGGGGAAGTCCTCTTAAAGAAGGAAATAATTATCCTCCTGTATGTGAAGTGGAGTGTGGCTTCCATGGGTTGGGAGAGGGAGAGACCAGCAGATGCTCTAGCCACACAACCAGCTGTTGAGGGAGGAGACTGAACTCTCCCTGCATGCTATAGTCATGAGCCCCAGCACACACAGAAGACTAAGATAGTGGTTCCAACTTGTTTGCATACATTGTGTTGATCTGTATATGCAGTGCCCAAGTGAATACAGCTTTTGAGGAATTATAGACTCTAGATATTCTGCCTTCAGGAACTATTTTCTCAATATTTTGTTATAATATGAATTTCTTCTAGTTTCTTCACTTGCAATCAATTATTTACCAACATGCTGATGCCAAACAGGCACAAGGCGATATGAATCTCACCCTGCTGTTAACCACACAGGAGAGAACACTTGATTACAGGAACTCCCAAGTTTGGCTATTTCACCAGGGTCAACTCACTGTACGTTACTATACTTGAAGGATTAATAAATTGAAACCCACACAACTACCGCAATAAAAATAGACAACGTTGTTAAAAGGGATATTTGACTGTTGACTGAATGGATGAAAGAGTTACATTTAGTAATTCTGTTTTTCCCTGGGTTTGAGGTCTCCTGTTGTCACCACTGACATTCACAGCCCACAAATCTTCAGAATTACCTGGGGGATACTGGCTCTTGTCCATCCACTTGTTTATGATCATTTTGATTGTCTAGCAAGAAATTCAGAGACAGTGGGTCACAATAAGTAAATCACGTCTCACACATACCTACTCAGTGAACACACCACAAGGACATGAATATTCTCAGTGCAAGAACATAATAATTAGCAGAGACATTCCAGGACACTTAAGTCTTAGAATTAGACTGGACCCCAGACCCATCAGGGAAATTCTCTTATTGAACTGGTAGAGTGCTCTCCCAACATCCTTTGTTCTGAGCCTGTATAAATAGTTAATGATATATTTTCCCCAGTGATCCTAGAAAATGAGCTGAGTTATTTTCTAGAATTGTTTCTACAATATTGGTTAGCCCCATCAGGTTATGTGGTTGCTGATGGTTTAGAGGAATTTATACTTGAGACTAGAGTGATGGATGAATTGTATAAACCCTCAAACCAAAAAAGAATCTTTGGTGTGACACAGAAACCATGCCCATTCAAGGCTGAAGGGACTGCCAGAGCCCAGCCTTGCTTCATGGAAACATCCAAACAAGGCAATGGTACAGCTGTGTCTGTCCTGGTTTTCAGATGACTGCTTAGCTAACAGTTAGAAGCCAACATAGGGAAGATGGAGACTGGGACTGAGAGCAGTGAAACCAGGGAAACAACCTCTCCTGATGTATATGCAAGTCTGCCGTTGTGTCTGGATAAGGATAGAAAGGCCAGGGACATTGTACAAAAAAGCAAAAATTAGGTCATTGCAGGTGACAAGACACATTTGATCCAAACTAGGTCTGACAGACACCTCCTGTAGATTTCCACCCAAGGTGGATGAGAGTTTGTCACACCTGATTTGGGTCCAAATGCCTGACACTGGTGCCAGGGTGACAAAGGCATGACTGGGGCCTAGAAAGGGATAAAGGCTCCCTGAGCCACCTGATGTCTGTGTTTCATAATAGTTCCTTTTCCCTGATTTAAGCAAGATGTGTCTATAGGGACTATCTTCAGAGATGACCTTCCTCAGTCTACACAGGTGTGGGGAACAAATATGGAGGCTACTTGGGAGATCAGTTGGAATTTCATCCTCTTTAGCATGGGAGCAACCACAGGCTCCATCCGGAGCAGGACCCACTTCTGATTCATCAAATGCAAATTTGCCATCACCGTAAGGCTGGTTGCAGTCAGAACTTGCTTGGAGAATTGAAGGAGTCAAAACACATTCATCCTGGGATTCCTGAGGCACTTCCTTCTTTTCAACCTCCTGCAGCTCCACACTGTGCCAGGTGGGAGAGGGATGACAGAAAATTAAACAAAGAGGATCCGACCCCAAGCTGCCCTGCCTGGTTTTGATGGGAGGCATCGGGAGTGTCAGAGAAACCAAAAGGGCAGTCCCCTTAAAGAGGGAAGGAACTATCCTCCCGTACGTGAGGTGGAGTGTGGCTGCCATGGGGCAGGAGAGGGAGACCAGCAGGTGCTCCGTGCACTGGCCACACAACGTCTGATGAGCAGTGAGACTCAACCATCCCAGTATGGTACCTTCAGGAACATGAAACACAAAAGAACTTCCATACCAGATGCTACTCCCGTGGTCCTAAGTCATGTTCAATTTAAGATAAAGTAGTCAAGTGAATACGGCTATTAAGGCATTATAGACTCCCAGAGATATTATGCCTTCTTTTTAGGAATAGAAAGGCCTCCGAGGCCTCTCTCTTACTACTGTCACATGACAACCAATTTTTTTTCTAGATAGTTGTCCTGATGCTTAATTTTTCTGGTTACTTCTCTACTAATTCCTTTGCTAGGTACCTTCCTCCCAAGGACCTAAAACAACTGTGTAGGAGTAGATATTTATCTCACCTTGGAGTTCCTTTAGGAGAGAACAGATATTCTCTGTGTGTGCAGGAAATCCTAAGGGTGGTGCATTCACCTTGGGTCGTACATACAAGTAGCACGGAGACAACAGACGACCAAGTTAACACGGCCATTTCCATGTGGGTTGAGCGAAGTAAATCAATACAGTCTGCAGTTCTGCTTCTCCTTGCGTCTGGCATCTGTGACTCTCTTGACCTCACTGTTCTTTCTGTGACCCTGTCCATAATTTACCCACCCATTACCAGCTCCTGCTAGTTCACTGTTACCTAGATGTGAGTATCTCTTGTGCTTGTTCATCTTCCTCATCTTCACGAATTTCTGCAAATTCAGAAATATCCAAGAAGTCAGCTTCTTGCCACTTCACTCACTACCAACACAGCAACTCACATGGTCATAGACTCATAAATACCTAGGTATGAATTAGTACTGTATGGAAGTTCTAATGCATTGTCTTTAAACAATTGCCCTAGCATGGATTTCCGATCCATCAGGCAGTCTGACTAAACCAGAGGATCATCATCATGACACCTTCTGCCTGGAATTGGACAAACATTTAAAGTGTTCTTTCTCCCTTATATCACTGCATACTTGTCCACCTTCCATCTTGGCTTCTACAGCTGGATCATCCATCCTGCCACAAATTCTGCCAAAGGCACAGGCTCTATGAACCTTCACAGCTCTCACAAGATCCCTTCCTTTCTCTAAGGAGAAGAACCATGTCCCACATCCCTCCCCCTGGGAACATCCTGGGCTCTTCCAGGTGGCTTCTGCTGGTTATCAAGGGGAAGTCTCTCTATAGAAAGTGGTCCAGTCTAAACAGCTTTCCCAACACCAAGTCTGACTACATCAAGCACCTTATCTAGCACCACACAGTGAAGGGCTTTCTTTTTTCTGCAGTGCATTCGTAAATATTTCCCCATTTCATCACTACAGCTACCATCAACAGATTATTTGATCCATTTTACAGAAGAGGAAACAGATACTGGGATAGGAAAAAATCAATCACTCACTCACTGTTACTAAAGACAGCCGCCCTCAGGCTGGACCCTGGGAACTTTCATGCTTAGTCCAGGGCTCTTTTCACTCTAACAACCTGCCTCCTGTCACATCGTCCTTTCTGTGCTTTAACACTGGGCGGATGCTGCCTCCTGCGCCAAAGGCCATGGTCCATCAGGGAGGAATCAGACAGTTGGAATACTATGCCCTCCACCCTGTGCATTTCTCCTCTGTTCTCCCACTCAGCCAGTCCTGCTCCTATCATAGCCCCAAACGGGACATGAAACAGGAAAGCTGATAAAAAAACATTCCTAGTGCAGGTGTGGAGTCTCTTGTGAGCAGGGGACCTTGGAGCAGAGCTCAGTGTTATCAGGTACTGTGGCCCCCTTAGCTGGGCTGAGCTTGTGGGCAAGGTGCTCTGCCAGCCTGTGTCCCTCAGTCAGCCGCTCTTAGAAGCCCTGCCCCTGGTGGTTGTCAAGGTCGTTGTGGGTGAGGAGGTCCTTGAGGTGCTGCTGGAGTAGGACAGTGTCATCTTTCACTTCCCGTAATGTCCGCCGTAACTGGGTCAGCTCTCGTGCCTGACTTCGAGTTAGGGTATCACATGTCCTAAGGTGGGACAGAAGATACAATTTTAAAATGCAAAGATGACACACGTTTAGGGATTTTTGTGAGAACATCCCCAAGGAGTGTGGACAGATACAGCTGGTGTGAATTGGAAAAAAACATGAGAATGACAGGGTCAAGAATGGATGACAAGGTGTAGTCAGTCAGGAGGGGGTTGTGATTTAAAGGTAAATGAGGTATTGATTGCACAACATTGTTGAGGGTACCAAATGTCACTGAGCTGTTGACTTGAATTTGGTGAATTTCATGATATGTGATTTTAAGTCAATAGTGTTTTTAAAAGCAGAGTAAATGAGGCTCTGAATAACAATTGGAGTCCGTAATTCACCAATTGGTGTTCTCCTGCTGGTTTATAAATATTGTGCCATGTGCCTGCCATGAACATCTCTGCCCTCCTTATCTCACCTCTCAGCTTGCGTGGGCTTCTCTGCCAGCTTCTCTGCTAGCCTCAGCGCCTCAAACAGCAGCTTCTCCCCCAGCACAGATTCAATGATGTCCTTAAATGCTTCATACTCTGAGGAAAGAGAGACGCTGCCTCAGGGGAAAGCTGGACAGGCTGCTGTGGTCACTGCCTTCAAGGGAAGAGGCAGGGTCCATCCCAAGGACAGATGTAACCTCAGTACCAGGCTCTACACAGGGATTTCCACATCTGATTCCTCAGCCTCCCACCTGCATGGCATTCGGTTACTCCCTGTTTTAGAGCTGAGGAAACAGAAGCTCCAGGGCACAGAAAGTAACTAGACAAGATGAACTGGTGTTTGGCAAACTGACACTGAATCCTGGGCCACTTACCAATACTTGCAGCCTCTTAGGTGAAATGCTGAGCAGAGGCATTCCTGGTGATTCCTGTGTGGTTGGGAAGACCCCTAGGACTATAGGACTGATGGTTCCCTTGTGCTGGGATTTCAGTAATGGACAAGTATCTCAAAGGTAAAAAACTCACCTGGATACACTTGTATGAAAGAGAATACATGAAACCATAAGGACCTGGAAAAAAAATGTGCCCAAATACTATGAAAGTTTGTGTTATTAGACATAGTAGAACTTGAACTTACTGTGTCATACTGTGCCAGGGACTATTGTCAGAGCTTTGTCCGAATTTCCTCATTATTCATTACAACTCAAACAGGTAGCCCATGGTTTCAGTGAGGAGCAGACTCATCCTTAAGCTCCTTTTAAGCAGGTACTATCCCCTGCTTCCCCCAGCGTGTAACCACCATGTCACCCCAGTGTAACTACCACAGGGCTTTGCCAATGGGACCTCAGGGAAACCTGAACTGATGGAGTTCATCAGTCCCAGTCGTTTAGCCAACAGTGATGCAGGATCAGATACAGAACAGAAAAGATTCCAATTGACACAGTTTAGCTTGTTCCTGAGAGAAACAGGCAGTTCAGTGCCTGAACCAAGAATCAATATCTGGGATTTTAACTCTAATCTCACCCTACAACTCACCGCAAACCTGGAAAAGTGGCTCAACTCTTTGTGCCTGAGTTTTCCCATCCTCAGGGAACTGAGGGTAAAATAGCCACTTCTACCTTTCCTGGATTGTGGTCAGAATGCAATTCAAAATGACAAAGGGAATAGGAGACAAAGTCTGGAGAGTTTTTGTTTCTCAGAGGGAAGACCATGATCATTCATCACTTTGGTGACCATGACCCCTAGGACTTAACTGTATTTCTGCAGCTGGTTGGCCAGGGAGTAGGCAGTAGCTTGGGATACAAGGAATTTCTCTGGGAGGTCTTGGAAGTCCTGCTTCTTCTTTGCCAGCTACAACTGAAGCTCCTGGTTGATTTCCGTGAGTGTAAGTTCTACCCTCAGATCAGATAAAGGGCCAAGAGATACTGCCATGGTGACATGTGGCAGAAAAGGTAGAGCCAGGGACTGGGGAGAAGAAACCCAAACATATGATGGATTAAAAACATGTGAAATCACGTAAGTTTAATCAGGACTGAGGGATGACAGAAACTGGAATTCTTAACTTACTGTTGGGAGAAACTTGAGGGTTTGCAACCGCAAAAACAAGGTTCATTATGCCAGTGCTCAGAGCCAAAGGCACCGTCTATAGCTCACACTCAGACAGGAGTGACGGAGGAGGACCCAGCATGCGAGGTTACCATCTGGAGTTGCAATAACAGAACTGGTAGGTGGGGGGGGGGGGCGGTCATGGAATCTCGGGGGCACCTGCCTTCCAGTTGCCTAGGCCATGCTAATACACAAGGCTGCCTGGGGTCTTGTGAAGGTCACCATTGATAGCAACCAATCCCTCAGCAGTCACTCTTAAGTTGTCTACACATGTCCTGATACCACTTACCTATCTCCTTCCAAAAAAAATCTCAGCGGAGTTCTCATTGTTCATTCTTCTGTGTATAAAAAATTCACAGGAGAAATAGTTTGCCAACAGGTCTTAATTTCTGTAGGGCTGTCATGAAGTCACCCCACCTTCTCTTTAAACAGATCTTAAGGCTTTTCCACAAGTGAGAGACCTCAAACTTTTACACTGTCATGAAGTTCTTCGACCCTGCTGGAGGGTCTGGAAGGAGTCAGAGACGTGGCCTGGCGGGGCA